TTTGAATATGACAGTACGTGACGTAAGCATTCTTTGGAATTGTGGTTTAGACTCGTTCATCTATAGGCTCTGTCTAGCAGATTACGTTTATAGTTAAAATGTGTTATCTCACTAGCCAGGAATTGTTGTTAGTCGCCATGGACCTTTCCCCAACTTTTGACCCCCGGAAAATTCTTCCTATACTTTACCATTGCAAAATTTTCGGGACTATTTTAGGAGTGCTTTTGCGAGTTGGCGCTTGTAAAATGAAGTATGTGTTTCGAACAATCAATATGATTTATCGCATACAACAATCTGTTTTTTAAAAGTATCGGTAACGAATTTCAGGCTAGTCTATCACAGCTATTTCTACACTAATTTTTATTACTGCAATTTAATCAAAACTCCTAGGAAGACAGAGTGATCATTGAATTATCTGATTTATACTTAAGTTTCCGAAACACAACTGAAAACTAACGAATAGAGTTCAAAAACGCGAAAACGAGGTAATGTTTACAACCACGCTTGAAAATCTGTCTGAGTGAGAAAAGTGTCTGAGCGAATGCGAAAAGGGGGCATTGTTACGTCAACTTTTGCATCTTGCTGATTGGCCAATGTCACAAAGTAAACAAGGAAGTCGATGCTTGGGAAAAGGTCCATTGCTTCTGCACTTGATTCGCTTGTTTACAACAATACATTGTGATGTAATAATCCCTCATAGTGATTGCTAGACACTTTCCTGTCACTAGCTTTCAAGAATTTGAAGCAGTTCAGTAGCCTATTTTCGTGAGGGTAATATTTTTTTGATAACTTCAAGGCTAGTAAAATGTCGGCAGCTAAGAAGCAAAAATTGATGAAGAAGGAAGGGTATTCAACAGTGAATGGTGTACAAAAAATTTTGTTGTCCCATACAACCAAGGTGCTGTCTGCCTCTCTTGTCAAAGTACTATTGCAGTCATCAAAGAGTATAATGTTAAACGTCATTACATAACTAAGCACTCCCAGTTTGATCAAATTCTTGGCCAGACACGAGTAGGCAAAATGGAACATTTAAAAAAATCCATTTTTACACCACTTACAAGAAGGACTCAGAACTGGTGACAAAGTTGAGTTTTAAACTTTGTGAATGTATGGCAGAAAAGGGAAAGCCTTTCAGTGACGGAGAATTTATTAAAAACTGTTTGACAATATTTACAGAATATGCATGTCTAGAGAAAAAACATTTGGTGGAGCAAACCAGCCTTTCCCGCTTGTTTCACGCCGAACAAATGATCAGATAATATCAAAGAAACTTTGAAAGAGAGATTGAAATCGTGTGAAGCTTTCAGTCTGGCATTGGATGAGAGAACTGATATCAGTGACACAAGTTTGTGTTCAACTCACTATTTCTGCAAGGAATCCTAATAATGCCGTAAGATAACTAGCAAAAATAAACAATTTTTGTACCGGTAATTACGAAAAAGTCTATATCAAATAAAAGTGCGGCCCGCGGCTTCACCCAGTTACTTGAATTTGGCCCGCCAGTGAAAAAGGTTGCACACCCCTGCTTTAAGCGTTTCTTATCATGTTCACGCCCAGTAAAGTTCTAAGTTTATCGCTCAGGGCCTTAAACTTATTATGAAAGTGTAGGCTCTTCGCTTTTCTTATTATGTTAACTTTCAATAATGTTCTAAGTTTATCTTTCATGAAGCTAGAGTCTAGTCTCATGCAAGGGTAAAACTATAAGAAAATCGAGAATCTTTCTGCAAAAATAAATACTTTCACTTTAAGAATCAGAATAAAAGCGGCAGCATCATTCATTGCTACTACCATAAAAATTTGATTATAGTGACACAAATGAAACTAAACTTTTCAATAACTAGAGTAATTATAATACGCTCGTGGCCCATTCGAAAATGCCTCTATGGCCCAGCTAGACTCTTTGTGAATGCGAGAGCTCTTTCAATAAAGCAATACTTGCAAGTTGCAATACAATTCCATACTTATTCAACAGGAAAGCATGTGGAATTGCAACAATGATTTGTCATTAAAAAAACACCGGTTAATTTGGTTTAAAACGTTATTCGAAGGGTTTTTTCAGTATTATTCTAGAATAGTTTAGTATTCAGATACGGACATCCCTAGCTGGGAATTCCCCTTAATTTATCTCAGCGACGCAGCGTCGTTGTTACTCCGTTCACCCGAGCATGATGCTGCAAATACACACTAACGATATGAACATTTTTTTCGACTGACTCTCTCGTTCATTTTAATAATTCTCACCTGACTGACTCACTCAATTCGACTTAAATATTAGTTCACGAAAAAACGTTCAAATACAAGTAATTTGACGCCAACTTCTGCTACACACGGTAATTTTAGTGTATAAGCTGTATAGTTTATTCTCGCCAATTGCAATTAAAATATTGTATGTCCGTTTTTTTCGCGATTTATTTATTTTTCGATTAATTGTACAATATTTCATGTACGACGGATATAAATAATATATGCAAAAACTCCAGAAACAGCCTCCGTTGTTTAGAATTAGATTAAAAATTAATAAAAAGAAAATCGATTTTTTTTTGATGGTAAGGAAGCGATGAATCAACGCAAAATATAACGTTAAAAATGTTTTTAGTTTTCTTTCCAATATTCAACCCCGGTTGAAAGCCACAATACAAATTATAGTTCTCACAAAATCCATGCTTATTATTCATGCGACAATATTCATAAACACATCATTTAATATTCGTTGCAATTTAAGACTCATTTCTAGTCAGTATTAAAAAATACTGCATCTGCAACAACGCACGATCTTTTTACTGAGTCAAAAGCTCTAGTTAGGTGAAAGTCTAGTTAAGTAAAAGTCTCTTATGCCATTGTGCAGGGAAAAGACCTTCAGTTGACTTTGAAATCCTTTCCGAGGAACAAATGGATTGGGAAGAAAAAATGATGCACGAGCAAATGGAAGCCCAGGCGCAATTGATGAGAGAGACTGTGCAACAGTTGGGGACGATACTTTTTGCGTGTGTGTCTCAGCTTTCAAATAATCAAGGTAAAAGCTCATATTTTGCTTAGGCGTAATATTTAAGGCAATTCCCTTCTGGAGAAAAATTTTACTCCCACGACTGTAACCAACTTCTTTGTAAGAAAGCCAGAAGTAATATGTTTTAAATACACCCCGCTCCTACTGCCACATATAATTTGGAGATTTAATTGTAAACTTTGTTTAAAGGGCCCGGGGAGTAAATATGGTTCATTGTGCCACAACAAGGTTACCCGTTTGTAAAAAGCAGTTCAAGATGAAGCATCAAAAATTCGTTTATTATCTGCATGAGAAACTGAAACGATTAGCTTTGTTGATCCAATCAATGTTGTTAGAAGGTTTTGGACATCAACTTAATGGAATGGCTACAGAAAGACCACTTTTGTGGCCGATCCCGATCCGATACCAACTAAAAACGCGGATACCGACACGCCGATATTACAAAAAGGCCGGTATTTCGATACCATGTAATTATTATCTTAATTAAGTGTGCTGTGTAGGGCAGACGGGTTAAACAAAGGTCTTTGAGCAATATTCATAGTACACATTATTTCCGATTGAAAAAAATATATATCACATAATATGGAATGGATGCTTGGTATCCAGATGCAATATTTGATTCAGATGCATTGTGCCTTGAAGCTAGTAATCTCGGTGTCCAATTAGAAAACTACTTTTTTTTTATAAATTGGGGCTCCTCCTGATCCCAGACTTGCTTTCGTACATGCAAAACAGTTAGTTTGTGGTCTACACTCTACAACATTTGCATAAACATAATACTGCTCATGGGAGATCGGAATTGAATATTGTGTTTTCACTTGACATGCAACATGTGGAAATTTCTTTTACAACTCTTTTGCAATAATGCTCTATTCTTGGATCTGAATATTCGTTCTCTGGGTCCAATCTTGTATAAATTATGGTCCAATAGACTTGTCCTGTATGTATCAGATTTTGAAGTAGATATTGATCACTCACAATACTTTACTGATTCTTAACCCTCACTTAGCCCGTGATTTGCTCAAAAGAATGACACTCAAAGATGAAGACCAACAACCAACAATTCAGGAGGTTGTTGTTGATCATGAACTTTTGGAAAAGTATCAACATTTAGTTTTTCCTCTTATTATTTATTTGTCTCGTGCTTTTTTTGTTTGCAGATCAAGTCAAGCCAGATCAGATCAACCAGTAAAAAAGGTAGGTATGTGAAAATTGAAAAAAAAAATGTGATCAGAATGATGGGTTTAGTCTCTTTTGTTTAGACTACTTAGTCGGCACTCAATTTATTAAATATTTACCTAATCATCCAAACCACCCCTTGTACCGTTAGTCTTCCCAACTACTTATGGTCACCAGATCGACCACCTACTATTGGTGGCTAAAAATAAGTCATCGCGCACTGGTCGTTCGATAGCAGATTCGTCTTCCGAGGGTCGTACTTTGGTGGCTTGTATAACCTTAACCCCTGTTCGTAGAAAGTTAATTTTGAGCTGCATCGTGCAGACAAATATGTCACATCACATTTCAGAAATTTGCCCACCGCCAGTTACCTATTTTCTTTCAGCTAATTAAAGGTGGTGGGCATAGCTGAGAAAAAAATATTTTTATCAGATTGTGAGACTTAACTCACACGTCTGCAATTTGACGAGGCCCTCAAATACCACAACTTCGACCAGGATTCGACCGATAATGCCCGCTATGATTGTGTATTTCTAAACTTACACTGGCCTTTGAGTCCATAATTTTACCTGGAGATCGCCTGTTAGCGCACGTAACTTCGATCAACTTCTCTGGAATAAATAAAAGTATAAACAAGAATGTACTTACCAATAATACCCCGTATATAATATCCTCGTTTGATTGGGATCTCGTTTTCTTCCATTCTTAAGGTTGCAATTCGCAGAGAAGGGTTTGACATTTCCATTTTCACTTTTCGTTTCAAATTGGCAAAATTAAATTTAAAATTCAGAATTTTACTTTAAATTTAAAATTCAGAATTTTACTTAGTTGGCCATTATTGTAATTTTGCTATGACGTCATAGAGAAATTTTAGCGTTTGTTTTTGGGAATTAATTTTACATTCATTTAAAGACTTTGACGACGAAAGAAAAGATTCTGTGAGTACTGGTTTTAAATTTTATCTTTTTTTTATGTGACAGCGCGTTCTTGTTGGGCAACGTGAACTAGCGCTTAAAGCCTTTCCTTTACTGGTGCTATAAAAACTCCTGAACGACTATTAGGATTAGAATTAAATAAATATGTTTATAGCATTACTGGGGGTCGAGAGGAGGTTATTATCCTCATTCCTACCCACACAGACCACCACGCGCAATCTGTTTCGCACCGCAATAGCGCGTACCCGACTTTGATTGTGGAGGAAATGTTTTTAACTATTAACAGTTATGTGAATTTGCCCAGCAATGTCGCACAAAGCCAATATCAATTTACATTAAAAATCGAGGTAATCTATTTTCTCGTTTTAACAGTATACTCGACGATGTCTCGAACAGATATTAATATTATTTATGCTCCATTGAAGCGGAAAAGGGGGTACACAGACTTGACAAAACAATACGTTAAAATTGATATAGAGACACCTAGCGGATTTGATGAAAAGGAAATTGATCAAAATACCACAACAAAAGTAATGGGCTAAGTTTGGTGAATTTTTTTCGCTCTATTACGGCTTTAAACAAGCTATTAATTAAAGATGCAACACTAGTAGAGTACAAAATGTCAATAAATATTTTTATTTAACATCAATCTATTGAATTTGTTATCACAGTGGTTCTCAAACTCTTTTTAGAATCAGTTAATCTCGCGTCCCACCTCGAAAATAACTAGCAATAAGCTACAAATAACATACAGTAATGCGAAAGTTTGTGATATTCGAAAAATCCTTTAAATGCAGCTGCTATAAATTGTTTAATTTTCAAAACGACTAAAGCACTTTCTTGTTTCTATCGATTCCCACGACATTCTCCAAGTCAGCACTTATTACTTATCAATCTTGTTACTTATCGATCTTGATCAGTAGGTAAGTTGATAAGTATTTGTATGTATGTGTGTTAGATGCACGCGATATCTCACGAAAGCGAGGTTCAATCTGCTTCAAATTTTGCATGTGCATTCATCTTAGCTCGGATCAGAAGCCTATTGATTTTGGATGGCTTATGTCGTATAATTAGCGAGTTATTAATTTATTAGTGATGGGACACACGGTCTCACTATGGAGTAAGACCACTGTTTTGGGGGATCCCCTAACCTTCGATCGATAAGTCTTCGGTTTCCAATCGAATTCTAGTTTGTTTATTGATTCGAGTTATTTGTAAAAACTATGTGATCGCCAACCACAAAAAACGAAATGCATTCACGTAACCGTCGGTCATTTAAGCTTGCATAGCGATCCAGTCCAATTGAAAATGAATATTTGGTTATGATTATTTCGTGTTATTGAATTTATTTTCCCATGGATTAATGTAAAAATACGATTTTTATCAACCAACAAACTTTCTGACTACTCTTTACGTAGGAAGATACTTATGACGTCACCAAAACAAGACGTCATAGATTACATCGTAAGAAGCAAACAACTAATTTAAGAGAAGGAGGTGAAGTAATGACGTCATCTGGAGACAGAGACGCGAAGACGAAAGATATTACGTCATATTCGGAACATCACCACGAGGGGACACATACTGCCTGTCAAAAAAACTCCGGTGAAGGTTTTAAAATCAATACAAAAAAAATATGAACAATTTTATAGCTTGTGATTTGTGTGTAGTTGGGATTGGTAGAATGAAATCGTACATGTAGAGTGGTATAGATATAGTAATTTATTTCGGGCTGGGCATTTTTAATACTTGATGATTTCAGACTCGAATCGAATAATTTAAATGCGAATATTTTATTGTGACGGATCCAGCAGACACATAAATTACTTAAGACATAAAATCCACCACTCAGTTAAGGCCATGGTTTCAATAAAGAAAATTGTAGATTTCACCTCGATCTGTGGCAGAGTAAAAAAAAAACAAGATGGCGGCGATTCAAAATTTTCGTCTAACCCGATTCGAATAATTTACTATTCGAATATTCGATTCGAAATGCCCAGATTTAAATTACTTATGGCCATTTCATAACCACATCAGGAAAATCTGTAAGACGTCTTAATTAAATGGCAAACCACAGGATCTTGTACAGGTTGCCATTGCTTGTCGGGTGTGTGATGGATTGGTTCAGTGGTCACCAAACTTTTTTGACCGCGGGCCGGGTATGACTCAAACTGGGTTGAAACGGGCCGGATGAATATTTTTGTCAATGCAATAAAATAAATTCACAAAAGTTGGGAAATTCATCCAATTTTTTTAACAATATGTGTTCTACATTTCTGAAGACTTGAATATTTAATTCTATCTATATCGCAGAATATAGATCAAAAACATCCTAGGAAAACAAATATACATCTATACATTTCTATATCTAGACAACTATCCTGAGTTTAGCTGTTATCAAAACGTTGCTGTCATGAATTAGGAATGTTACAAAATCGGCTATTTCGCGCCAAAATAATGTACGCTTCACGTCTGCTAAGTACTGTTACGCCGTGTTGGAATACTGCTACTGCTAAAAACGACTACGGACTGCCTGCTGTAGCTTGGAATTCCATGAAATTTTGACATAATTTAGATAAAATAAACAACATATCTGGTATTTGATTTTTTTCATTAGCGCATACATTTCTCAGCTTTCGACGCTTTTAAAAATTCCGCCTCCCCCCTTTTATACGTAGTGCAAATTAAACTATCATGCACAACTCCAGCGTTTATTTGCGACGATCTTTCGGCGGTGTCAATGACCGTTGCCAGAATAAAATCCCGAAATAGTCTCAATATTAGTGATTGAAATGTGTTATTTTTTCATATTTATTACAGTTCTTATCAAAAAAGTAATACAATCCTTATGAAAATAATTGCCCTGTCGGGCGGTACTAAAATTCCGATATCTCGGTTATTTCTTGACCGTTTTTTATAAACTTGGTACTGTTTTCTATTTTCACTCAGATCTATCCACTGGCGCAGTTTTCAAACTTATCAACTTTAATTTTTTTTTGTAACATACTACATGAATATCCGCACTTGAGCAGTACAAAAGTTAGTGTGACTTATGAAATTGGAGCAGTACGCGAGGGATTATAGTACTGTTAGCGCAAAATGCACATTCAACCTTTATTTTAGCACAAGAAACGTAAACAGTTTCGTCGAAAGCACGCGCCACTAGTGTACAAGTGCATCTTTCGCAGAAAACGTTGCGTACAGGTTGAGAATTTTAGCCTATTTTGTCACAGCTATTTCTAGACTAATTTTTTATTACTACTATTAAAACTACAACTCCTAAGGATGCAAATGATAGTTGACTTATTTGATTCATACTTAAATTTCCGAAACACAATCAAAAACTAACGAATAGCATTCAAAGTCGCAAAAACGAAGTATTGTTTACAACCACGACTGGAAATTTGTCAGGATGACAAAAGTTATCTGAGCTGAGATGCGAAGAGGCTTTTTATTACGTCACGTTTTTTTGCATCTTGCTGATTGGTCAATGTTACGAAATTAACAAGGAAGACGATGCTCGGGGAAATCTTCCTTGGAAAAAAATTTAGTCATTTTTGCGTGTTATTGCGGGCCGGATAAAATGACGCCGCGGGCCGTAGTTTCGTGACCCCTGGGTTAGGCAGTTATTATTTGTTTCAGGTGCATGGGATTGATGGTGGAGGAAGCCTCTCGCACATAATTATTCCCCACGGGACTCGAACATGCGAACCCACGCAGGATAATCAGAGGTACGGTGGCGAGTGGATTCCCAACGCTCAGCATGATACGGCACTGCCGATCCGCGACCACGGTCCGGTAGGGGGTGGGGGTGAACTTTGATTGAACCATAGTTACCTCATAATGATAGTTATTCGACTCTTTCGTTCCGGCTGACTAACGCTGTATGATGACAACTTTTTTGTTTTACGCGCAATGCTTGGTGGTATGAGATGTTGACATTTATATCTAGGTTTGGTTTATGTTTATTATTCAGGGCGAGTAAAGAGCAGCGGTGCGGTGAACTTTGGTGTTTGACGCAAAGTACAAGCTATTTTTCTGTCAGAATATCTTCATCCCTCTATTTTCTGCCGACCTGCGTTCACGTATGAATTCTATCACAATCAGATAAGTGCATTAATCTTTTTTAACATTTACGGTTAATGCTGTAATGACACTTTTGCGAGCAGAAATTGGCTTTTTGTCATTTTTTCTGGAGAGCAATCTAGGATTTATATTGTCCAGGCTGCAATATTGAAGCTAAGAGTATTATAGACTTCCTATATCTGTATATTTTATCTTCGAAAAGGTATGATGTCTGTGCATGGTTTTCTTGCATGGTTCACTGTCGTAAATTAGTACCATACTTGGATTGCACGGATGGTCTGCTCACTAACACTCTATTTACTATGCAGCCAAATGCAGGCACGTGGCTAAACCTTGAATATAAAAATCACTTTGCTCTGCACGAATCACACTGCATGATTCTATGATCTGTATTTCTATTTCAGTATTTGAAAAATTAATCTTTATTTTCTTGCATGTCAGTTTTTTTAGTGTTGCATGATTATCCAGAATCTTCACTTTCATTTTTCACAGTCCTTTTTTATGTTAACCCCAAAACCAAAATGAACCAAATTAGTGTTGCATGTGTCACGGATTTTATTATCCGTGTGTTTTAATTTAGTTTGTCTTTTTGTATTTGCCTATATGCTTTTTGAGGACCCTTGGTTTGGATATACTTCATCCGGTTGCTGTGGGACTCCGATCACCATCGATCGAGTCGTGGGAAAAAAGAGCTTTCCGCCTCTTTTCCGGCTGCCGCGCTTGCGGGCGGACGTGTTTTCCTGTGTTCTCTGTTTTGTGCTGTTTTAACTGTGAAGTTGCCTCATAATAAACCATAAATCCGGAATCTGAGTCTTCTGATTCAATACACACGGTAGCAACATCACGAACCGTGATAATGGCGAGCACTGCGGCGGAATAGCTGACGGCAACTTCGAAGGTTCGGACGATCGGGAAAATGAAACAAATTCCAGCATGGACGAAGAGTTTACCGGAAACATTATAAACTTGGCGACTTCGGGAACGGTGTCTCAGGCAAAACATACATTTTTGGTGGGCCGAGTGAGCCTTGGTGTAACGATGGTGGTCCCGGCATGTGTGCGGTGGTTGAAGCTGGCTGTGATTTTTTTGACCGGTTTCGGACTTGGGGATTGGTGTGTTGCCTGCAGTGATGGACTCCTGGGCCGTTGTAATCCCAATGTGTGTGGTCAACGTGAGCCAGAAACCGGTGCATGTCGAGGCGGGTACTTTAGTGGGAATAGTTTGCCCAAGGGGGCAAGTTTATCAAATTGCTGAAATGTCTAACTGATCCTGAAATGGGGGAAATTTTGTTTGCCTGAGCACCTCGAGCCGTTGTTGTCCGAAGTGGAACATTTGAATGAATGAGAAAAACCAGTTTCGGTCATTGCTAATAAATTACCAAGACATCTTTGCCAAGCCTGTCAAGCGGAATCCATATCGCATAGGACTTGAAGAGCAATTTCGTTCATGACTATTTTTTATTGTAGCATCTTGTTTAAGCAATTTGGCTATGTGAAAGATATTTTGAAAAGGGGAGGGGGTACATAATCTTTAAAAAAATTTGGTTGTTTTGTTGTTGTTTTTTTCGATTCGATTTTGAGAATGAAACTTGTGGAGTTTCATCCTAAACAAGGGAGGGATTCTGTCACGGATTTTATTATCCGTGTGTTTTAATTTAGTTTGTCTTTTTGTATTTGCCTATATGCTTTTTGAGGACCCTTGGTTTGCATATACTTCATCCGGGTCCGGTTGCTGTGGGACTCCGATCACCATCGAGTCGTGAGAAAAAAAGAGCTTCCCGCCTCTTCTCCGGTCGCCTCGCTGGTGGCCGGACGTGTTTTCCTGTGTTCTCTGTTTTAACTGTGAAGTTGCCTCATAATAAACCACAAATCCGGAATCTGAGTCTTCTGATTCAATACACACGGTAGCAACATCATAAACCGTGATACATGATTGTCACTTCGATTTTAACCTTCTTCTGTTATTTTTCACCATTAAAACAAAAATGATGGAATCTGAAGCATTCATCATATATTTACATATGACTTAACACAGATGAATAGATATTTGCGAATAGGAGAGTGCTCTAATGACTGGCTTACACCAGACCTTGTTGAAGAACTTCTTTTCAAGGATATGGAAGGCACTTCTACTTTTACACCTACTTGTACAGGTACTTGCAGTAGATCTTCTGTAAAAAATGCGGATGCAGTTAAACTGATGGAAATAGTCAGCAAATCAGGTAAGTTGTCTTGCACTGGAGAAAAGGTTGTTAGAGACTGGATGGAAGAATTTACACAAAGCAGGAATTGCAACGCCATAATCAGCAAATTCCCGAAATTTTGCTGTGGGGCCAAATCCTTATTCGGTGGCAGTGTATTGACCAATTCTGATGCTGCAGATCTTTTGCTCGAGATAATACAACAGGGTATTCTACCCAAAAACCCTGTGGGGAAGCTTGTAACTGGTGAGGTTAACAATTCGACACTTGAATATTTGGGAGGGTATACAATCAAGAGAGCCCTAACAAAATTTCCAACATCCTATCTCATATGCGAAATGTGTGGTACAGCTC